AAAATATCACATATGAAGAATTCAGTGATCTTGTGCGCTGACGCATACGATAATGTGTCAGATAATAAAGGTTATGACCCACACGCACAGATATCGATGCGCTCAGTAGATGCACAAGATCACTTGAATGAAATGTAAAGCAGCCCTGCAATGTTCTCCATTCAATATTAGAATAGATAAGAACAATTGTGTGGCTGCGACTAGGTTAAGTTAGATTAGTTTCAGTAGTACGTAAGGAAAATATTTTTGAAATAAAACTAGAATTGAATCAACAGCCAAACCGTTCGGTTGGTTTTCTTTTCTCATTCATTGGTCCTTCGAGCCTTCACTTTTGTCAAAGTGAAACGAATTAGCGACCACAAAAATAAAATAGTAGGAGTTTTCCCCCACCAGTGGTAAGAGACTCACTATAAGCAGAAGTAGCTATTCTTCAAAAAAGAGGAGAATAGCTACCAATAAAAATCCGTTGAGGGATAAAATTATAAAGAGCCATAAAGGCAAAATTTAAAAATATAAAAAAAGACCCACGGGGCAAACTAAAAAAAAAAAAACATAACAAAAAGAGGACAACAACAGTCCCACAAAAAAATATACAATTTTGGAAAAGAGGACATCAAAGTCCCAACTGAAAAAATCGAAAAAAGCCAAGAAGGCAATATAAAAAAATTTTTAAAAGAGGACAAATAGTCCCATCTAAAACATTTAAATAAAAAATTAATAAAAAAATGGAAGAAAATATCACCACTTTGGCAGACTATTTCCAGCTATTAACGTCGACGTCAGCCTTTGAAAAGGTGAAATACGTCGCGGCATGGAAGGTACTGGTAGAAAACACATATTACCAGTTACGACGGTACTTGAGGGTACACCAAAAATATCTTCCAACCCATATGAAGACATTGTCCTGTGATGTGGATATGTGTATGTTATCAGCAATGAAGCTTTTAGCAACCCGGAGTCGCAATTACACAGGCTTGGACATCGATGAAGAAATCGAAGATTCGATGAAACCTCCATCACGATGGATACTCTCGCTGAAATATGACCATTTAACTTGGGAAGAGCAAGTGGAAGAAAACAGACAACTCAACTATGTCGAAACAAAGGAAGATTACGACAGAGAATTGGAAGATGGTTTGCACGAACAAATGCAAGCCTATGAAAATAATTTACAATCTCTGCTGGGACAAGCAATCGAATTGCGTTCTCAACTAATAATCGAAGTGGAAAAAAGTGAAACGATATTGAGAAATGCGAAGACCCACGAAAAATATCTGCTCGCCAAATCTGAAGAAAACCTGCGGGCCAAGAAGGAACAATTCGAAGAAAAACATCGAGTTCAGAATGATCAAGTGCGACATCTAAAAACGAAGTTAAAGAAAGTCAATGAAAAATTGGCTAGCTCGGAAAGAGCGCGACGAGTCTTGGAAGCTGAGAAAGATGACCTGTCCAAGCAACTAGCAAGTGTAGAAAGGGACATAATGCTGTTAATCTAAAACAGATTCGATGTTTAGAAGGAAATATTGTGAAGTGTTTCCCGCCGGCAAGTCCTCATTTTGAGGAACGGAAAGAAAAAGAAGAAAATTCCACCCTGAACAATGAAGAACTCGAAAAATATAATTATATTGGAGTAAAGGAAAAAGGAATAAAGGAGTTACGCACAGAAGGTCCCATCAGTTCCAACGAGTATGGAAATGAATTTATCGAAGAAGTGGGAAAAAACAAACAAAGTTCTCTGTTTCCAGTTCCTGAAGGCCTTAGCGGAATCAATAGCAAATCATCAATGGCCGTGAAAACAGAAGACGACAAAGCAGAGCGTACCATGGAGCCAATGGTAATCCTTTCCGATAAGAATGATGGCGGTCTGCATCGATGGTCTATTAATGCGGTATGGAGAATGAAGCCGGCAGATAAAGGTGGTGGCAATTGCAAGAAGGACTGGACAAAGAAATGGAGTCGTTTCCTGTAAGCAGTCACTTAATTGAATATTTATATTGTTTGAGCATATATAGTTAGTTTACTTTTCATATTTTTATATTTAAATATTTTATAGTATACATTTATTCAACTTTATAAAAATACAGTCCACTATTAACATACACATTTAAGCCGCCCGGGAGAATGTACAAAATACTTTGTACATACTTTTGAGTGCGATTGAGGCGCTGGGAAAATGTAGCAATAAAAAATAAATGTTCTAAAATTAAATATTTCCCAGCCGCCATAAAATATCACATATGAAGAATTCAGTGATCTTGTGCGCTGACGCATACGATAATGTGTCAGATAATAAAGGTTATGACCCACACGCACAGATATCGATGCGCTCAGTAGATGCACAAGATCACTTGAATGAAATGTAAAGCAGCCCTGCAATGTTCTCCATTCAATATTAGAATAGATAAGAACAATTGTGTGGCTGCGACTAGGTTAAGTTAGATTAGTTTCAGTAGTACGTAAGGAAAATATTTTTGAAATAAAACTAGAATTGAATCAACAGCCAAACCGTTCGGTTGGTTTTCTCTTCTCATTCAGAACCGTTATTTTAAATGAATATAAATCACGTGGTATAGATGAGTTAAATTTCAAAATGTTATAATCATTATCAAGAACATTTTGAATTTTGGACTTGATATAATTACTAATGTTATCTACAGAAGTACTAGGATGTAGTCTAGAAACAAATATACTTTTTCTGGGAGCAACTACGATTAAATCGTTATTACTAGTAGAAGGAGCATTTTCTGGAGCACATATGATTATTGAAGGCGGAATCTGTGGATTATTAGCGGTAACTTCTGAAGATTGGACTTCAACCGGAGTCTTTACACTAGGACTCGAAGCTGTTACAGTATTTAGATTAGAGCATACAGATGAGTATAGCGCCGGAGGCGCGAGTTGATTCTCTGTGTGCAAAGTTCCCAGGTTTTTGCGTGGCGGAGCCACAGATGGTGAATTTAAAGTTGTTAAATTTTCACCAGAAGCAATTGCCGAGGACTTTTTACGTTTTGGAGAACCATCAACATACTCAAAGTTCATAAAAAGCTTTTCAAAATTTTCAAGCCTTGTGTGAACAGTTAATCTACGGAAGTTAGCATGGGGCTAGAGCTTAGGGCTGGGCAGAAGCCTTCCAATTTTGATGGTCGTCGGATAATATTTAGTGGGTGAAATAGGCCACAATATTTGTGTTAAATAAAAGTCAAATTTTCTATTAAGCCGCGAATATTTTTAGTACCGGCGAAATCACAAATAGACGAACGGGTCAATTCTGAACGTTACGTAGATGCGGATCGGATATATATAGTGAAATATATACAAAGGAAGGGGATGTTAGTTAGAATGCTTATATTTCAAGAATGGCTGGACCGATTTTGACAAATTTTGCCAATTCAGAATGCCCTCTTGACATAAAAGTATGAAATCAAAAAACATCGCAGAAAAATATGGCAATAATGATGTTAATATAGATTTGAAGTATTTTGTGACATATTTTTATTTTTTATTGCATGCGATTTTTTCAATTTGATTTATAATATTTTTTCACCTTACAACACAGGTTGGGATTATTATATAAGGATTGCAAATATCGTCCGATCCTCACGAAATTTTCACAAGGATAGGGTTGGGCTCAGAAGGGCTAGGCCTATTGGCCTTTTTTATGCTGATTTCGTTGACGAATATAGCCAAATATCGTAGACAAGCAAATCATATAGATGAGTCTAAATTTTGAGATACGGAGGGGCTTCTTGCTTTTGGAGATGATCGCAAAATATTTAGGGGTTCAAATTAACCAAAAACAGAAATGTTTTTCCGATCACACAATTGAAGCCTATCGACACGCCTGTGAAGAGAGTTAAGGACAGTGAAGAATTCTAGCATTTTGGATGACCATTGGACTATATTTAGTTGTAAAATGGACTACACCAACTAAGAGCACGACGGAGTGCATGAATATTGGCAAATGTCCCTAGTCAAAACCTAATTCCACATGGATTTGGCTTCTAACATATTGTAGTGTTGTAGGGTATTACATAGTCGGCCCCGTACGAAATTCCTTATCAATATAGAAAATTTAAGTCTTTTACTTCCGCGATTTTTCTAGAGTCTTTTTTCAAAATTTTCATTCATGAATTACATTCCACTATAATTACAAATAACCAAAAGAAAATTTGAGTCAATTCGGACAAACAATTCTCAACTGATGTGTTACTATATTTTTGTAACACCTCGAAATACACATTTAAGACACCCATTCTTGATCAGCATAAAATTCTATGTCGATTTAGCGATGTCCGTCCGTCTATCCGTCTGTGGAAATCACTGTAGCATCCAAACGAAAAGAAGTAGATCGATAAAATTGTACTCAAATGTATATTATGTCTGCAGAAATTTTAGTATTGAAAATGGGCCATGTGGGTCCACGTCTTCGTATAGCCCCCATATAACGGTGCCTCCCGATATTCGGTATTTTGATGATTTTAGCGACATTATTCACCGGAATTGTTCCACATTTGGTATTTGATGTTCGTAATGGCTGCTACAGCTTGTGACAGAAAATTGTCTGTACAGGTCCATGTCTTCGTATAGCCCCCATATAACGGTGCCTCCCGATATTCGGTATTTTGATGATTTTAGCGACATTATTTATTTTTTTTTCAAATTTGGCATTTGAAGTTCATAATGGATACAACAACCCATGCCATATACGGCTACATTCGGTATTATTAAGATTTTAACAAAATTTTTAACGGATTTTATTTCTTTGAAAATTTGCCAAATTCTTTCCAAATGGTGGAGGGTATTCATAGTTCGGCCCGGCCGAACTTACAGCTTTTTTACTTTTTTGTTTTTCCTTCACATAGTCTGTCGGAAAACATCCACCGACTGACTAACAATGCAACTCAAATAAAACTCATCGATATTTGCGTTCTTCTATAGAACCATGCTCATACGATGATGCAGTTCCATTGCAACACTTTATTTACAGTTATGTTTTTTTTTGTTGTTTACCTGAATGTCTAAAATAAAATTACAAAATAATCATAAGAAGGTTTATAAATGCATGACGTTAGATAAGGAAGAAGTGACTATCAGATGGCGTAGTCTGTTGACAGGATTCGGATATCAAATATGGAAGGATGAAAGTAGTGGTACCCTTTAGAGTTAACTGTCGTTTGATTTCAGTTGTTTTTTTTTAAATCTGTTATTAAATTGTAAGTATGGCTGAATGTGTGTGGATGTGAAAATGATTGGACATGATGCGATGGTATACAGAGTGGTTGGTAATGGTCTGTTTGGAGGGTTAGGCCGGAATTGTGGTTGTCGTCAATTTGCAAATTAGTCACGGAGCATCGTCAGTCGCCATTCTTCTAGTAATTGTATTTGTGATTTGGCCCGGAGAATGACACAAAGTTGCCATGTGATGGAGCATGTCCTTCGACGGGCTTGATGAGGAGTGCCGGCTTGGGGGCGTAATGTACCAAGGGTGCAGGCTTAATGCCAGTGAGATGAATGGGGGTAATGACTTTGGCAGCTGTCAAGATCTTGTGGTGGGGCTCCGGTACGGGTATCTTGATATTAGTCGGCTCGCGGATGACAACAGCTTCGAAGCCACTGTGAGCGTCCGACTTGTAGGTGACCAATCGGCGGTGACCATCTGAATCGATCAGTTCATACGATCCCTCGACTTTGTCATCTTTGCGGCTCTCCTTTTGGCTTTTGATGTCGCCAGTGTGAGGATCGTGCACAGAATAGTGGAACTCATAGGCGACTGGTCCATAGTCGGGTTCAGCTTTCAGTTCAATACCTACAGCCAAATGGGCAATGGCCACTAAGCAAATGACAGACTGGAATATGCAAAAGGCGATGTTAAATGTCAAGTAGAAATAGATTTCCAATGACCATTCCGGGGCTTACCTTTAAGAACATGTTGTTGTTGTTTTGTTTCTTTTTGGAGAATATTCTTCTTAAAATTTTTGATTCGACCTCGGCAAATTTCCCCGCTGTGTAGGTTTATGGGCGTTGTATGTTCACAGAACAAGTGCTGAATGGTTTATAATCCAATAGTCGAAATCCTGCGTATATTTATATTCACCCAAGATTCCGTTAAGCATCGGGTGATGTGTGTGGAGCCTCCCCTATTCGAGCACATGGAAATGAAGAAGGCGTCCGGCGTTGTCACCGTTTATCCGGCGGTGCCACAGCACACAGATTGTCGATGAGGCAACAAGTGTACATGTGCAGGCACAAACACACTCACTCACACCCTAGTGTGCGATATGTTGGTGCTTGCATGTTATGCCAAACAGAATTGTCTAGAGCACGAGCCTAATGGAAGTGTGTGTGTGTGTGTGTGAGTGCGGTTCTTTTTGCAACTTCTAATGCCGCTATGCAGCAGTATCTTGACTGCTGTTTACCTCGTCGTCTGATTAACCACTACAGGTTACCATCAGCAATGGCACTGTGTGGCGCGGCAAAGGATGCAGCCACTCAACACTTGCAGTGACAACGAATGCCGCACTGGTTTGTTTACCCGAACAAGTGAATCTGGCTTGTGACGAAATTCTACTCCAATTTCTGACACTGGTACTCGATCGCCTGGCGGCAGGCGAAGACATTGCCAGCGAAAAGTCGAAATCTTCGCAGACCGGTAGAACGTCTATGCGATGCCACAAACCACAGCTTATTATGTCAATTGCAAATAGTCAACGTCATGCAGAGGACAGGGGCAAGTGGGCGGACTCGCCCGGTGCCCGGTGCCCGGTGCGCTGTACGTTTTCGATTAGTTCGCATTAATTTGAATTATGCAAATGTGCTTCACTTTCGATTTCAATTACAACCAAATTGTGGATTTATTGATGAAAGCAATAGCAACTGCATATGCATACATGCGTACATACACACATACATACATAAATACATACATACATACATACATACATATTGACATTTGTTTATGCATTGCAATCGAATGATTGAGTGGATGGATGGATGCAAGTAGGACGGGAGTTGTGTTGTCATTAGGTTTCTAATGCTGCTGTTTGCTGGTTCAAGTCTCGCCTGTGCTGGCGTGCACATCCACGCACGCACTCATTTACTGCGTGTCTTGTTAATGATTCCACAATTCTGGTATGGTGGGTTTGGGTGGTGCGCCTCTGTTCATGACATCGCAATCGCCTGAAATTTGTCAATACCGACAGTTGCCGGTATTTCGGCATTAATTCGTCAGATGGTCGCCGCAACTGAACATTGCTGGTAATTGATCGCATTATTGACTGACACCTTAGGTTGGCAGGGTAAGAACGGATTGACTCGTGCCAATCAGATATGGCTAAAGAGTACGAAAATTGTACGTTTATGGTAGATAGTGGCGTTGGTTGGTAAACCCTTGTAGGCAGCCAAAAACAGAAGTCTTTTAAACAGTGTTGCCACAAAAAATAAATCCAATCAAAATTTCCTCAAAATCCGACCAAAATGACTTGCTTCCGACCAAATTACTAAATAACAAGTAAAAAAGCTGTAAATTCGGCCGGGCCGAACTTTGAATACCCTCCGCCATTTGGAACGAATTTGGCAATTCTCAAAAACAATAAAATCCGTTAAAATCTTAGAAATACCGAATGTATCCGTTATATTAGGGTCTATACGATGACACGGAACTGCATAGGTAATTTTTTTCATAAGCCATTACAATATTCAAATGTGAAACTTAGAAAAACAAATTGGTAAATAATGTAGCTACAGTCACCAAAATACCGATTATCGGAAGGTTCCGTTATATGGGGGCTATACGAAGACGTGGTCCTGCAAAAACAATTTTCTGTCTCGGGCTGTAGTATACGTTACGAACTTCAAATACCGAATTCGAAACAATTCCGGTTAATAATGTCGCTAAAATCATCAAAATACCGAATATCGGGAGTACCTTTCGTATGGGGGCCATACGAAGACGTGGACCTGCATAGACAGCTTTCTGTCTTAGGCTGTAGTATCCATTGCGAACTTCAAATACCAAATTCGAAACAATTCCGGTGAAAAATGTCGCTAAAATCATCAAAATACCGAATATAGGGAGGTACCGTTATATGGGGGCTATGCGAAACGTGGACCTGCATAGACAATTTTCTGCCTTAGGTTGTAGTATCCATTTCGAACTTCAAATGCCATACCATACCGTTATATGGAGTCTATACGAAGACGTAGACCTGCACAGACAATTTTCTGTCTTAGGCTGTAGTATCCATTTCGAACTTCAAATAGCTAATTTGAAACAATTCCGGTGAACAATGTCGCTAAAATCATCGAAATACCGAATATACATGGCCCATTTACGAACTTAACCTGCCTACTGGCAAAGTATACATGTGTGCAAAATTTTAGCCTTCTATCTCAATTCGTTCGAAAGATAGCGTGATTACAACAGACAGACGGACATGGCTAAGAATCGTCGGTATTTTTCTTTCGTTTGAAATTTTGGCGATGTTTTTTTGTGTCAGTGACAAACGAGTTTTTGGTTTTTGTAACGAAAAAATACAAACGAAAATGTCAGAAAAAACGATAGGAAGGGGCACTTCGTTTTGAAAAGAAATTGGCTGTTTGTTACAGAATCACGCTAAAATTGTATGTGTGGGATGGGGAATTTATATATGAACTGTTTTTACACATCAGTTTCGTTGTTGGTGCATCTTGCAGGACTATATTCTTCGAATGATGTCTTGACATTTTTAAATTTTATTTTGTCACGACCAACACAACTCCAAATGGAATTAAATAAAAAATTAAAAAAAAAACAATGTTTATAGAAACGCTGACATATCAAAGCTTTTCGGGAGTGGATAAGAGAATTCAAAATATTTATAAAAACCCAAATTAAAACGAATACATTTTAACGCGAACGATTCAATTGAAAGCAACTTTTCTTACCAAAACAGTCTGTTAAATAATCAAACGTACAATTGAAATTCAGTCTTTGTATTATATGCGCCGACCGAGAGGGCCACCTTCCCGTAACGCAGGGAGTAGACTTGGGAAACCGGCTACATTAGAGCCTCAGTCAGTTAACAATTAAAAGGTTAAATAATCTAAGCTAAACTACAGTAAAATTTATCTTCACAAAAACTAAAGGTGACAATACATAAAACGCTTTTTTCACTGGCTTAAGTCATCGGCTGGCTTCTTCGTAGAGGAACAAAGGAGTTTTAGGTTGACTTAGTTCGATTTTGGCCCTACGTTCCTTTGTTCTTTTCCGACGCAGCCAGAGGATGACTTATGCCAGTCAAAGAAGCGTTTCATGTATTCTCACCTTAAGTCTGGCAACAGTTTTACATACTAAGAACGTAGTATAGAGATTTTTATGACATGCAAGGGTTCACACAAAGAAATCGAAATCCGTTTCAGGACATTTGGAGTCGATCTACCGATGTCCGTCCGTCTGTCTGGCTGGCTGGCTGGTGCGCACGATAACTCTCGAAGGGAGTATCCGATTTGTTCCAAAGTTGGTACATCGTAATATATTGTCAATCTTAGATTGAGTTCGGAGATGGGCAATATCGGTCCACTCCTTCTGGTACCTCCCACATAAAATGTCTAAATTTTCAAAGAAAATAATTTATTGCATAGAAAGAGAAACGATAATCCAATTTCGCTCCAACTTTACAAATCCTACTATTTGCGTCAGTGCTAGGTTAGGTACGAAAATGGACAATATCGGCTTACTCCATTAAGTACCTCCCCCACAAAGGGTCAAAATTTTGATTAATTATAACTCTTATAATATGTGATGTAAGAGTCTGATTGTCTTAAAATTGCACACATCACAATATTTTTATTAATCCAAGGTCTGGTGTGAAGATGGAATTTATCGACCCACTCTTTCTGATACCACCCCCACACAGGTTCAAAATTTCCAATACCCATGAATCTCATAAAACTCGAAATTAATATCCGATTTCATTCAGACTTGGCACATATCAATATTTCTATCAACACAAGATCTCTTACAACGAGGGTAGAGATTGGACCATTTCTTCTGGTATTTCACCTACACTGGGTCAAATTTTTGAATAACCAAAACGATTTTAAAATCCGATATAAGCATCCAGTTCTCTCAAAGGATCAAAATGTTGAATATCCATGTAGGTCATAAAACGCGAAATTAACATTTTATTCCATTCAGACCAGGTACATCCCAATATTTCCGTTAACATAAGATCTGTTATAAAGATGGGACGGATTTCATCTCGTATCTACATTTTTGCTAACAAAAGATCTGTTGTGAAGATGATTTATATCTGCAAATAACTTCTTATGCCTTACCCACAAAGGGTCACAATTTTCAATACTTTTATCTGTGGTAACTTGCGAATCTAGTCAGCGGTTTTTCTAAAAATGTTCACATATCTTATCTATATCTCTATATCTATAAAAGAGGAAAATGTTTGTACGTTTGTTTGTTTGTTTGTAATTTATGGACTCGAAAACTGCTGAATAGATTTTTCTGAAAATTTCCATATATACTGCAACATCGCCTGAAAGTAACATAGGCTATATACATTTTTGAATTTCCACTTGGAACTGGAGATATAGCATCAGAATCGGAGGTACCTCCCAAAAATTTAGATTTTATATGCACATATCTATTGATCGGTTAAAGATACAGTCTCCAAATTTGGAATGTGTAACGGAATTTGGAACAAAAATAAGTTTGCTAAATTATATTGTAATCGGTTCAGATTTGGATATAGCTCCCATATATATTTTCGACCGATTTCGTTCATTTGGTGCCTCAAACACAATATGAATGTTCGATTCCAATGAAATTTGGAATGTGTGACGGAATTAAATCCGAAAATAAATTTGTCAAATTAAATTGAAATCGGTTCAGATTTGGATATAGCTCCCATATATATATTCGGCCGATTTCAAGCATTTGATGCACCAAACACGCTATGTATCCCCAATTTCAATGAAATTTGAAACGTGTGATAGATTTTATCTAAAAAAATTTATTTCCCAAATTATATTGAAATCGGTTCAGATTTGGATATAGCTCCCATATACATTTTCGGCCGATTTCATGTATTTGGTGGACCAAACAAGATATGTATGTCCAAATTTAATGAAATTTAAAATAAGTAACGGAATCGGGAGAAAAATGAATTTTTCGAATTATATTGAAATCGGTTCAGATTTGGAT